ATTTAATTTTATTAATTTTCGGTTTCTTCAATTTTTCTATTTGCGATTTTTCGATTTAAAATTTCTCTAGTTTTCAACTTTCAATTTTTCGATTCCTAAATTTTTCATTCCTTCGAATTTTCGATATTTTTGATTTCTCGAATTTCTTTATTTCGACTATTTTTCAATTTTTCAATGTTCCAATTTTATAATCTTTACTTTTTCTTTTCTTTTCAATTTTTCGAGTTACAGTTTTTCATTTCCAACTTTTCGTGTCTTGAATGTTTCGGTTTGAAATTATCGTTTCGGTTTTTTTATTGTCTTTATTTTTCCAATTTTTCGGCTTTTCAATCTACTGATTTTTTTTCTTTTTTTTTTCACTGAGAAATTTTTAAATTTTTTAATTTGCAATTTTTCGGTTTCCAATTTTTCGATTTTTCGATTTTCAGATTTTATAATTTTCCATTTTATCAATTTCAGATTTTTCAGTTCAATTTTTCGTTTCTTCACTTTTTAGATTTTTCAATTTTTCGATTTTCAATTTCACAAATTCTTCAATTCTCAGTTTCTTCAGTTTTTCGATTTGCGATTTTTCAATTTTTCGGTTTTTTTTTGTTTCGTCAATTTTTATATATTGCAATTTTTCGATTTAAAATTTCTTTGGTTTTCAACTTCTAATTTTTCAATTTGTCGATTCTTTAATTTTTCATTCCTTCAAAATTTCGATCTGCTATTTCTCGTTTCGGTTTTCTATCTTTATTTTTAGAATTTTTCGACTTTTTATTGTTCGATTTTACAATTGTTTGCTTTTCCCTTTTCAATTTTTCATGTTTTCAGTTTGTCAATTTGCAATTTTTCATTTCTTTAATTCAGTTTTTAATTTTTCAATTTTTCGATTTGCTATGATCATTTCGATTTTTATTGTCTTTGATTTTTCAATTTTTCGATGTTTCAATTTTAACGATTCTATAGTTGTTCAGTTTTTAAGTTTTTGCGTATTCCAATTTTTCGATTCATTAATTTTTTTCAAATTTTTAAATTTCTGGATTTTTCGTTCCTCCAGTCCTTCGATTTGCAATTTTTTGATATTCCAACTTTTTTCGTTTTTCGATTTGCAATTATCGTTACGGTTTTTTATTGTCTTCATTTTTAATTTTTCAATTTTTCAATCTACTAATTTTTTTCTTTTTTCATTGTCTTTATTTTTTCGATTTTTCGGTTTTTCAATCTACTGATTTTATTTCTAGTGATATTTTTGAAATTTTCAATTTTTCGTTTTTATAATTTTTCCTTTCATCAATTTAAGATTTTTTGGTTCCCCGATTTTTCAATATTTTGTTTCTTCAGTTTTTAGATTTTACAATTTTTCGATTTAAAATTTCCCTAGTTTTCAATTTTTAATTTTTCCATTTTTCGATTTCTTAATTTTTCATTCCCTCAAATTTTCAATTAGCTATTTCTCGTTTCAGTTTTTTATTTTCTGTATTTTTACAATTTTTCAATTTTTCAGTGTTCTAATTTTACAATTTTTTCTTTTTCCATTTTTCGTTTCTTCAATTCTTCGATTTGTAAATTTTTCTTTCTTTTTCAATTTTGAATTTTTCAATTCTTCGATTCTCCAAATTTTCGTGTCTTGAATTTCCCGATTTCAATTATCGACTCGGTTTTTTATTGTCTTTATTTTGTCAATTTTTCGTTTCTTCAATTTTTGTATTTGATCGGTTTTACGATGTACTGATTTTTTTCTTTTTTTCACTGTGAAATTTTGGAATTTTCTGTTTTCAATTTTTCGATTTTTCAGTTTTATATTTATAATTTTTCGTTTTATCAATTGCAGATTTTTCAGTTCCCCGATTTTTCGAATTTTCGTTTCCCCAGTTTTTAGATTTTGCAATTTTTCGACTTTCAATCTTACGACTTTTTCCAATTTAATGTTTTCAATATTTCGTTTCTTCAGTTTTTCGATTTGCGATTTTTCAATTTTTTGTTTTTTTTTGTTTCTTCAATTTTCTTATTTTGCAATTTTTCGATTTTCACTTAAAATTGTTCAATTTTTCGATTCCTTAATTTTCATTCCGTCAAATTTTCGTTCTTGTATTTCTCGTTTCGGTTTATTTTCTTTATTGTTACAATTTTTCGATTTTTTATTGTTCCGATTTTATAATTCTTTGTTTTTTCTTTTTCAATTTTTCGTCTATTTTATGTCTATTTTTTCAATTTTTCAGTGTGCTAATTTTAATTTTTCATTTTTTCACCGCGTAATTTTTTAATTTTTAGATTTTTTGATTTGCAATTATTGGATTTTAAAACTTTTCAATTTTTAATTTTGGAATTTCTCTGTTTGATTTTTCCGTTTTTCGATATTTCAATTTTAACTATTCTATAATTTTTCAGTTTTTCAGTTTTTTGATTTTCTAATTTTTCGGTTCATTCAAATTTTTAAATTTCTCGATTTTTCATTCCTTCAGTTCTTCGATTTACAATTTTTTTATTTTCCACGTTTTCGATTTTGCAATTTTTTGTTTTTTCAATGTTTCAACATGTTTCAACTTTTGAAATTTTTTAGTTTTTTGATTTTTAATTTTTAGAATTTTCAACTTTTCAAATAAAAAATGGAAAAATTGCCAAACTGTAAAATTAGCTAATAAAAATAAAAAACGGAAAAGTATAAAATGAAAACTGAAAAATCTAAAAATTGGAATTCAAGAACTTGAAAAAATCAAAGACTGAACATTTGGAAAATTGAAAAAATAATCGTAAGGAACATAACAAACACAACAAAACAATAACCGAAATGAGAAAATTGTAATATAAAATCGGGAAAACGAAAAATAAAAATCAAGAAGTTAAAAAATTGAGGAAACAAAAATTGGAAAATCGAAAAATTAAAAATTGCGAAACTGAAGTATCAAAAATTGAAAAATTGTAATATCGAAAAATTGCAAAAAATTGAAGAAACGAAAAATAAAAAAATTGAAATTGAAACATTGAAAAAACGAAACATTGTAATATCAAAAAATTGTAAAATCGAAGGAAAAGGAAAACCAAAAAATTGTGACATCAAAAAATTGTTCGAAGTTAAATAAAGAGTCGTTCTTGATTTAAATGAATACAATAAATTGCCTGATTTATGAATTGTTTTGGGTCACCCTGTATTAGTAAATCTATGAGTGTATTGAAATAATATTTACGAATGTAAATTTTGGGGATCACGCCATCCTACTCTTGGTGGGGAGGTTTATCCAAATTTTGGTTAGCGTTTTACCATCTACACGACTTTCCTAATCCTGATACACATGTAAAATTTCACAATAATCGGTTCAGCAGTTTTGGAGATTATTTGTCTAATAAAAATTCGAACAGACGGCAGACAGACAGACAGACAGACAGACAGACAGACGGAAACGGAAGACCTATTTCTTCGTGCTACAGGGGTCATGAGATATCGAAGACCGTTTTTCAATTTAAAGTAGCTGAAAGTAATAAAATTGTCAAAATAACTTATATTTGACTTATTCTGCAACATTTCCAACTTCCTCATACATCTCGTGTTCACTGACATAAACTCAGTAAATGACACGAGCCGGCAATAAACAAGATCTTGCAGCCGAGAAAAACTACGACAAATTATCCGCGTCAATTTTCCGACCGTTTGAACAACAGATTGCGATGGAGCAGTCAAATGCATCACAGGCAAAGTAGGCCGTGATGCGGTAGGCTGAAGGGATGAACAAGAACCCTTACCGTGTTAAATCACTGAACACTGCGATTAACTCCATAAATCAGTGTTAGTAACATTGCGTGGCGCATTTTTATAGACCCATCCCGTTCCTCAATGCCTCCGTAATCGAATTTTTCGCAATTACAGCAAAATTTATATCGATGCCCTATCGAAGATGCCCTTATTAATGCAAATTAACCGCCTACAACAAATTTTGTCTAATTTAGCCGAACGAGCTCTTAATGGGGACAATTTTTAAGCGGAATGATAATGAAGAGAGATAAGGTGCCGTTTCCTGAAATGAAAAATGGTAATTTCGCACATCGACAAGAGGGGGAGACAATTTCGAGGGGCGCTGTTAGCTAATGCGGAAGGAGATGGTTATTGTACGAGGATCTCGCTAAGATTTTGTTATAATATGACAAAAAATGTAATAGACCAGAATTGAGTGAGCTCGTTTATCACGAATGGAAGTGCTTTCAAAAGTAAAAATCTATCTCAATAATTTAATAACCGGAAGGATTTCTGTTCATAAAACAGGCATTAAAAAGGACTACAAAGCAACTTTGTAAAAAAAATATATAAATTTACCTTGTTTTTTCAAGATAAAAATAGCTTCTTTCACCCGATACACTCAATTGAGTCTGTATTTTGAAAGCATTCTTTTTAAAAATAGCAGCCGATCCACTGAAATCAATATATTATAAAAATTCCCGCTGTAGCAAAAAACGTGGCTAAAGAAACACCTCAAAAGCTGTCCTTTCGCGTTAGTTATGGCTTTCGAGTCTTCACACTGTCAAATTAGTTCCGATCGGATAAACCGAAAATAAAAGATCTCTCTTTATTTGCTACAACGTGTTCTTAACACTTCCCGTGCCAAATGTCGAAGCCTCTAAACAGAGTTATCGATCCAGAAAATCGTCCGAACTTTTTTAGGAACGGGATTCCAAACCGTATTTATGCGTCTTTTGAAGATTAATTTAATAAAATTCGGTTTATTTACATGTAGTAAAATTTCGCAGCTAATTTGAAGCTAATTCTAAGTACTTTAAATTAAAAATAGTGATGCACGAAAATAACTATTAGGTTTCCCCCTCCATCCCATAGTATGGACTATGGAACCATTTAGTGTTGCTAAATCAGGACTTAGTTGCTATTTAAAGAACGCTACAGTTAGTGAAGAGAGTTAGAGAACGAAACAAACGTAACATTAACTGGATTTTAGTAAATATTAACTTGGTAAGCTGTAATATTAAGTGAGTGCTAGCAACAGATAACCCAGAAGTGTCTCAGGTCGGTGATGGTACTCTCAATGGACCGATGGGTCGGCAAAGTGGCCATTGTGACCGGTGCTAGCTCTGGAATTGGAGCGGCAATTGCGGATGCTCTTGTCGAAAACGGTTTACTTGTAAGCAAGTTATTACCCATCAAACAACCATTTTTCTCCTGACTCTAGAGTACGAAAAAATGGTCTCCCGTTTCCCCATGTCATATTGAGTTTTCCCCGAGACATCCAGATTTTTGCAAAAATAAATCAAAATTGTATGACAACATTTTGCAGTTTAACTGTGAAACTGAAAAACGGAATGATCTGAAATTTTGCAAGCGATTTAAGGTTATCGTAAGCACGGTAAATTAAAGTAATTAAATTTATCTATTTTTTAAATAGACGTGGGGAAAAATTTTAAAAAGGTTTTTTTATTTTTCAATGTTTTCAGATTTTCGATTTCTACTTTTCCAGTTTTTTAATTTCTCAATTTCTTGTATATTTCTTTCAGTTTTGGGATTTTTCAATATTTCGATTTTTCGACTTTTCGATTTTTGGACTCCTGGATTTCTTGATTTCTCGATTTTTACTTTTTGTAGTTTCAATTTTTCGTTAAACTTTAGATTTCTCAATTTTTCAATTTTCGATGTTTTAATTTTTCAATTTTTATAAATCTAGGTTTTTTGATTTCTCGGGTTTTCAGTTATTCTATATTTCAATTTTCAATTTTACGAATTTATAAATTTTCAATTTTTCCAATTTTTCTTTTATACATATTATTATTAATTTTTGGATTTTTCAATTTTTTGATTTTAGATGTTTCGATTGTTCAATTTCTCGATTCATTAATTTTTCAATTTTTAACTTTTCTTCCCGTCTTTTGACTCGTCGATTTCTGGATCCTTTGATTTTTTGATTTCTGGAAGTCTCAATTTTTGAATTTTTCGATGTTTCGATTTTTTAAGTTTGGGCTTTTCAATTTTTTGATTTTTCAATTTTTCGATTTGTCGATTTATCAGCTTTTCGATTTTTAAATTTTCGATTTTCGAATTTTGAATGTTTGATTTTTCGATTACTCGATTTTTGGATTTTTCAGTAATTCGATTTTCAATTTTTCTAATTTTGACGTTGCTAAATTTTCGATTTTCTGATTTCTCAATTAATCTGTTTTTGATTTTCCCATTTCTCGACTTTTCGAACTTTCGATTTTCAGTTTTTCAGTTCGACTTTGTTTTTTGGTTTTTCCATTTCTCATTTTTCCAGTTTTTTAATTTCTCATTTTTTGTTTCTCCGTTTTGGAATTTTCCAGTATTATGATCTTCGACTTTTCGATTTTTTATTTTTTGGGTTTTTAATGTTTCGTCTTTTCGATATTTTAATTTTTACTTTTTTTAAAATTCTAGATTTTTCAATTTCTCGAGTTTTCGGTTCTTCCATATTTCAATTTTTCAATTTTCCGAAATTTTAATTTTTCGATTTTTCGACTTTTCGATTTCTGGATCTTTGATTTTTCGATTTCTCGATAAATTTTGAATTTTTCGGTTTATTGGTTTTTCGAATTTTTACTTTTCGCCTGTTCGATTTTTCAATCTTTCGATTTTTGAATTATCCGGTTTTTCAATTTTCCAATTTTTAAAATTTTCAAGTTCCGATTTCTCCGTTTGTTGATTTTTCAGTTTTTCGATTTTTAAATTTTAGATTTTCCAATTTTTATTTTTTCATTTTTTGATGTTTGAATTTCTCGATGTTTTAGTTGTTCAATGTTTTAAATTTTTTGCTTTTTTGGTTTTTGGATTTCTCAATTTTCCAGTTTTTAATTTGTCAATTTTTGGATACTTTTTCAGTTTTGGGATTTCGCAGTATTTTGATTCTTCGACCTCTGGATTTCGTTTTTTAAAACATAGATTTTTCAATTTTTCGGCTTTTCGATATTTTAATTTTTGCAGTTTTTAAAATTCTACATTTTTCAATTTCTCGAGTTTTCGGTCCTTCCATATTTCAGTTTACCAATTTTCCGAATTTTTTGAGATCTCGACTTATCGAGATTTGGATGTTTCGATGTTTTGATTGTTCAATTTCTCGATTTATCAATTTTTCAATTTTTCGGTTTTTGAGGTTTGGGATTTGTTACTATTTCGACTTTTCGATTTTTCCAATTTTGTGAATTTTCGAATTTCGATTTCTCGATTTGTTGATTTTTCAGTTTTTCGATTTTTAAATTTTAGATTTTTTTATTATTCAGTTCGTCAATATTTTTTAATTTTTCAAATTTTGACGTTTCTGAATGTTCAGTTTTCCGATTTCTCAATTAATCTATTTTTTGATTTTCTCATTTCTCGACTTCCCAAAATGTCGATCTTTCAGTTCTTTTGTTCAATTTTTCAATTTTTAATTTACAATTTTTGGATATTTCGTTCAATTTTGTGATTATTTGGTTTTTCGATTCTTCAATTTCTCTCCTATTTTTAAATTTTTTGGTATTTGACTTTTGGGATTAGTATTTCGATTTTTCGATTTTTCCATTTTTTCAATTTTTGAGTTTTGATTTCTGGATTTGTAGATTTTTCAGTTTTTAGATTTTTGAATTATTAATTTTTTGATTTTTTGATGTTTCGGTTTCTCCATTTTTCAATTTTAAGATATTTGAATTTTTCACTGTTTTAAATTTTTAGATTTTTCGATTTCTCGGTTCTTCAATATTTTTTACTTTTTCAAATTTTGACGTTCCTGAATTTTCAGTTTTCCGATTTCTCAATTAATCTATTTTTTGATTTTCCCATTTTTCAACTTCCAAAAGTTTCTATCTAACAGTTTTTCAATTTTTCGATTTTTCAATTTTTTAATTTCCCAATTTTTGAATATTTCGTTCAATTTTGTGATTTTTAGTTTTTCGATTCTTCAATTTCTCGATATTTGAGGTTTGGGATTTGTTACTATTTCGACTTTTCGATTTTTCCAATTTTGTTAATTTTCGAATTTCGATTTCTCGATTTGTTGATTTTTCAGTTTTTCGATTTTTAAATTTTACATTTTTTTATTATTCAGTTCGTCAATATTTTTTAATTTTTCAAATTTTGACGTTTCTGAATGTTCAGTTTTCCGATTTCTCAATTAATCTATTTTTTGATTTTCTCATTTCTCGACTTCCCAAAATGTCGATCTTTCAGTTCTTTAGTTCAATTTTTAATTTACAATTTTTGGATATTTCGTTCAATTTTGTGATTTTTAGTTTTTCGATTCTTCAATTTCTCGATATTTGAGGTTTGGGATTTGTTACTATTTCGACTTTTCGATTTTTCCAATTTTGTGAATTTTCGAATTTCGATTTCTCGATTTGTTGATTTTTCAGTTTTTCGATTTTTAAATTTTAGATTTTTTTATTATTCAGTTCGTCAATATTTTTTAATTTTTCAAATTTTGACGTTTCTGAATGTTCAGTTTTCCGATTTCTCAATTAATCTATTTTTTGATTTTCTCATTTCTCGACTTCCCAAAATGTCGATCTTTCAGTTCTTTTGTTCAATTTTTCAATTTTTAATTTACAATTTTTGGATATTTCGGTCAATTTTGTGATTTTTTAGTTTTTCGATTCTTCAATGTCTCTCCTATTTTTAAATTTTTTGGTATTTGACTTTTGGGATTAGTATTTCGATTTTTCGATTTTTCCATTTTTTCAATTTTTGAGTTTTGATTTCTGGATATGTAGATTTTTCAGTTTTTAGATTTTTGAATTTTTAATTTTTTGATTTTTTGATGTTTCGGTTTGTCCATTTCAAGATATTTGAATTTTTCAGTGTTTTAAATTTTTAGATTTTTCAATTTCTCAGTTCTTCAATATTTTTTACTTTTTCAAATTTTGACGTTTCTGAATTTTCAGTTTTCCGATTTCTCAATTAATTTATTTTTTGATTTTCCCATTTTTCAACTTCCCAAAGTTTCGACCAATTTTTGAATATTTCGTTCAATTTGTGATTTTTTAGTTTTTCGATTCTTCAATTTCTCGATATTTGAGGTTTGGGATTTGTTACTATTTCGACTTTTCGATTTTTCCAATTTTGTTAATTTTCGAATTTCGATTTCTCGATTTGTTGAATTTTCAGTTTTTCGATTTTTAAATTTTAGATTTTTTAATTATTCAGTTCGTCAATATTCTTTAATTTTTCAAATTTTGACGTTTCTGAATGTTCAGTTTTCCGATTTCTCAATGAATCTATTTTTTGATTTTGTCATTTCTCGACTTCCCAAAATGTCGATCTTTCAGTTCTTTAGTTGAATTTTTCAATTTTTAATTTACAATTTTTGGATATTTCGTTCAATTTTGTGATTTTTTAGTTTTTCGATTCTTCAAGTTTTCTCCTATTTTAAATTTTTTGGTATTTGACTTTTGGGATTTGTTAGTATTTCGATTTTTCGATTTTTCCATTCTTTCAATTTTTGAGTTTGATTTCTGGATTTGTAGATTTTTCAGTTTTTAGATTTTTGAATTTTGAATTTTTTGATTTTTTGATGTTTCGGTTTCTCCATTTCAAGATATTTGAATTTTTCAGTGTTTTAAATTTTTAGATTTTTCAATTTCTCAGTTATTCAATATTTTTTACTTTTTCAAATTTTGACGTTTCTGAATTTTCAGTTTTCCGATTTCTCAATTAATCCATTTTTTGATTTTCCCATTTTTCAACTTCCCAAAGTTTCGACCAATTTTTGAATATTTCGTTCAATTTGTGATTTTTTAGTTTTTCGATTCTTCAATTTCTCGATATTTGAGGTTTGGGATTTGTTACTATTTCGACTTTTCGATTTTTCCAATTTTGTTAATTTTCGAATTTCGATTTCTCGGTTTGTTGATTTTTCAGTTTTTCGATTTTTAAATTTTAGATTTTTTGATTATTCAGTTCGTCAATATTTTTTAATTTTTCAAATTTTGACGATTCTGAATTTTCAGTTTTCCGATTTCTCAATTAATCTACTTTTTGATTGTCAGGTTTAGATTTTTCAGTTCTTCAGCTCTTCAATTTTTCGATTTTTCAAGTTTTTAATTTTTTTTTTTGCGATTTAGTTAAACAAAAACATAGTCGCATGTCAAAATCGAGTGAAACATTTGAGATGTTTGTAAATAAAAGCATTTAAATAATAACTATTTCCCGCAGAAATTCTAAACGCTTAGAGTCGACATTGGCCTGAATGCACTCCGCTCTGTGGATCACATAAGTTCTCAGGCAACGTCATAGTAATGACTAAGAAAAAATCTTAGAGAAACCTGTCTAGGTTTTGTTGTACTAATAAATCTCTAGAGCTGTTTTAATATTCACAAAAATTTTCAAGATTCACTTGTTTTGGACACTAAAGAAGTTTCTCGTTAAACGCTTTAAAATAAAACAATTTAAATTTTTTCGAAAAAATCTGGACGCCAAGGGTAAAACTGAACACGGATTCATAAATCACACATATAGGAGGAAATAAAATCAAACCTGTTTAGACCGATTTTTTAGGTGGTAGGTGTTGCTCGTAGAAACGAACTCATCGAAAAACGCGCCAAGGAATTATCAGACAAAAAAGGAAAACTGTATGCTTTCAAAGCCGACCTTAGTCGCGAAGACGAAATTCTATCAGCTTTCAAATGGACTGAAGATAATTTAGGGCACGTGCACGTTCTTGTCAACAACGCCGCCTTTTTGTCGGAAGAACTATTAACCGAAGGGAATACTGAAACGTGGAGGAGAGGTTTCGATATAAATGTAATAGCCCTTTGCGTTGCTACAAGGGAAGCGGTCAAAATAATGAGGAAAAACGACATAAAGGGACACATCGTCCACATTAACAGTATTTCAGGGCACGAAGTTGTGGCTCTACCTGGAAGCAATGTTTATTCAGCAACAAAATTTGCAGTTACTGCTTTGACTGAAACCTTGAGGCAGGAATTGAATACTTTAGGTAGCAAAATTAAAGTCACAGTGAGTAGATTTTCGCACTTTAAGTTAAGTTTTCATGTCGATGTTGTTTCTAGAGTGTTAGTCCCGGTCTTGTAGTTAGCGAAATGACAGTTCTGGCTAAAGATATAAGTGACGAAAGAAGGAAGATAATGGAAGATCGTCCAATCCTGCAAGCTGAAGATATAGCAGACGGAGTGGTTTATGTTTTATCGACGCCAGAGCATGTTCAAGTAATTTCGTTGAGCTGAAAATTGCATTTATTTTAACTTGTGTCTTTAGGTACATGAATTGACGATCAAGCCAGTGGGAGAATCTACTAGTTTTGTATCACAAATAAATACATAAGATATATCTGAGTTTTTGTTCTAAAAACACACAATTCAAAATTAGTAGGACCGAAAATTCCTGTCGCTTCAGCAATTCATATGGTAATCTTAAGGGGGACCGCTAGACGAGAGACAAGTTTGAATTGGGCGCCATTTGTTGCCTCAAACGCAACCAGCAATTCTTCTTTAAATCTACCTGACGCGCTGGGATAGACGACTACCGGATAATGATAATTTATGACAGGCGGCCCACAACATACCTTCAGCACAGAATAATCATTTCTCGTATTCTTTTGACATATTAATTTTAATATTCGAGATAATTATTATATTATTCAAACACAATTTAGACACTGTAGAGCAAACAAGGCTTATCAAGCCCGTCTATTAGTTTCTTCGCCTAAATGTATTATTAATGCCGTTTTCAAATTACACCAAAATTGAAAAATCGAAAACTTAATAATTGAAAAATTGAAACATTTTAAATGAAAAAAATCGGTAAACCGAAAAATTGAAAAATTTATAAATCGAGAAATTGAACAATCTAATAATTAAACAATTTAAAAATCGAAACATCAAGGAAAACAAAAAATTAACGGGACATCTAGAACTTAAAAATTGAAAAATTAAAATACCTATCGAAAAATTGAAAAACCGAAAAATCGAAACATCAAAAAATGGAAAAATTGAAGAACCGAAACATTGCAAAATCTCAGAACTGAAATACTGAAAAACTGAAAAATGGAAGGAAAATTGAAAAATCGAAAAAGTGAAAAAATTCAAAACTGAAATCTTGAAAAACTGAAAAATGGAAAGAAAATTGGAGAATCGGAAAAGTGAAAAATTCCAAAACTGAAACATTGAAAAATCCAGAAATCGTAAAATTGAAAAATCACAATTGAAGAAAGAATTGAAAAATCAAGAAATAGAGAAATGGGAAAATCAAAAAATCAGTTAATCGAAAAATTGAAAAATCGAAAAATTTAGAAACGTCAAAAATTAAAAACTAAAAAATAAAAAAAATTTTAAATCGTAAAACTGAAATATCGTGAAGTTAATAAATTGAAAAACTGAAAATTTTTGAAAAGAAAAAGTTGTTTCAAAAACTAAAAATTCAAAAAATCGAGAAATTGAACAATCCAAAAATCTAAACATTGAAATCCCAGTAAGTTAATAAATAGGAAAATTTAAAAAACAAAAATTTTAAAAATCCAAGAATTGAACAACAAAAAAAATCTAAGTTTGAAAACTCAGAAAATTGAATGATCGAAAACAAAAAATCTAAAATTTAAAAATTCGGCAAATTAAAAAATCATGGAACTGAAAAATCGAAAAGTCGAGATAGTGAGAAATCAAAAAGCCTAAAACTTTAAAAACTGCAAAATTAAAATATCGAAAAATTTAAAAACCGAGAAAACACAATATCAAAAATTTGAAAAATTGAAGAAACGAAATACTGCAAAATTCCAAAGCTGAAATATTGAAAAACCTAAAAATGGAAGGAAAATTAAAGAATCGAAACAGTGAAAAAATCCCAAACTGAAACATTGAAAAATTGAGAAATGGAAAAATGGGAAAATCAAAAAAATTAGTCTAAAGAGTTTAGACAGTACTTCCCTCGCTATCGGAAACGTGACGACTGCATGCCTATTATGTTTTTTTTCACATTAGATTTCAAAGCATTCGGTTTTGTAGTTCCTGATTAAATCAATAAAATAAATTTGCGCATTCATTAAATTTTTTGAGTCACCCTGTTTATCCGAATCCAAAAAATATGAATGGAATGATAAATTACAAGAAGACACTCATCATATTTTGTAAATTTTAAATAGGGTTATACGGCAAACTTTTGAGCTGACGTCATCAATTTTTTGGAGGGGATAAACAAATATATTTGGACTAAAAATGTATTATGCTCTTTATAACCTTAAAACATTTGCAAGATTTCAAAGCATTGGGTTCTGTAGTTCCTGATTAAATCAATAAAATAAATTTACGCATTCATTAATTTTTGGGGTCATCCCTGTATATGCAAATCCAAAAAACATGAATGGAATGATAAATCACAAGAAGAGACTCATCATATTTTATACAATTTAGATAGGATTTATTCAGCAAAATTTTGAGGTGACATCATCAATTTTTTAGAGGGGATAAGTAAATATATTGTGATTAAAACGGTCCTGGTTTAATAACAAAAAAGTATTGTTCGTCTATAAAACAAGCTCGTCTTAGACAAAGTATTCGTAAACAAATATGTTGTAAAAAAATTTCCGACTGCGATTATAGTTTAAATATTTTTTAGAAAATCATGTCATGGATGTAGAAACATTTGCGACAGCCAAAGAGGTTTTTTCGAGAAAATTATCTTTGAATTTAGACCAAATTTAAATAGACACTAGGCAACAGGCACATTTGGGCGAAAGAAAGAGAAATTAGGGTTACGGCTTCAAATTTTGGACGTATTTACAAACTTAGACCAACTACAGCAATAGCTAAAACTGTGGAGTCTCTGTTGTACAGTACATTTAGAGGTAACAGTTATACATACTATGGACAGCAAAGTGAGGAAAAAGCTGTCAAGTGTTTTGAAATAAATAAAAATATAAAAACTGAACGGTGTGGCTTGTTTATTTCAAAACAATTTCCTTACTTGGCTACTAGTCCAGACAGGGTTCTAGAGGATAGGAGTGCATTAGTCGAAATTAAATGACCTTCAAAATCGCAAGATTTTGAAGGTCATTGAAGAAGAAGCGGTTAGAAAAAAAATAATCAAATTTTGTACATTGACAGACAGAGAATTGAAACTAAAAAAAAAATCATGATTACTACTTTTAAGTCCAGGGACAAATGCTTGTTACGGGTATTTCACAAGTTTATTTTGTTGTATGGACACCCAATGGAATAAATATAGAAAAAATTTATAAAGACGAAGAAATATATGTAAAAAGATGGCAGATAAACTTGGCAGATTTTGCTTTGGCGCATTATTGCCCGAAATAATTGATTCAAGAAGAAAGAGGAACCTGCCTTTGCGAAAGATTTTTTTAAAATAAATAAAATTTGTTTCTATTTTTTCATGTACTTTAATAATTTATTAGGAGTACATTTTTCATCACCAAGACTTGCATATTTTTATTATAAATATATTTTGAAAATGATCTCGCGGCAAATGAAAACATATACGAGCACTTTTTTCGAGTAAACAATGAAGGGAGAAGTTACTGGGCGTAGGGCTTTTTTAAAACACCTCCTTTCTGGGATAAGTAGTAAATACACTTAGCTACTTATACGTGTTTAACAAAAGCAAATTTTTAGTAATCATGTGTATTGAATTCAGGATCCTGAGTGGAGTAAAAATATTATAGTTCCCCAGTTTTAATTCGGTTTTATGATAGTACCTCATTGCGTAAAAGTTAATTTTCTTAACAATAGACTACTACGGCTGGTCATGGCGGTTTTTTTCAATAACTGTTAGTTTTGGTTAAAAACTCTGCTAACCAATAGATCATTAATTTTCCTCTGATATTCCTGTTAAAATTATTCGACGTATTTTGCATTAATTTGTGGTATATTTTGATTTTAATAAACACATTATTATTTAAACAAATTGTACCACTAACAAACATTTAATGATTCTGCGCCCTGTAAAAAGTGATGTTTTATCCATATGCGAATTTTCAAGCGATTTTATGATGGTTATGACTCAAAAAACTTGAAAAGAAAACATAAAATGGTGCTTTTTTACGATATTTCTCAGCCATATTTTTTTAGTTGATTGAACTGGTCTCTGCGCCCTAGAATATGAAAAAAGCTGCAGTTTGATGTATGACACATCTATATTAATATCATTTTTTCATACAAAAAACCAAAACAATGTTATACCTCGTCTAGCGAGTCCCCTTAAGTAACCCAAATAGTAGTCTCTCGGAGTGTTTCCCCTTCTAATTTCCCCGGGAAACCATCAGATCCCTATCCGTTCTTAAGATTTCCCGTGCATGTCGAATCCGCCACAGCCCGCCATCGATCCAGCGAATCATCCGAATTTTTTTAATTAACCGGAAACACCTGCCCGCCGTCACATTTATGGATTTCACGTACCTTAGGGTGCCGATGGAATGATTAACCCCAAACCGCCCTCATCCACTTAGCTGTTATGATCACATTCGTTTAATCCACGTTCCATAGTTCCCTACCGCCTCCAGCGCCGTTACTTAACCATTCATCAAAGTGTTCGCGCTGCGTTAATAGAGGGTTGTAGCTGCCGATTTCTATCATAGTAAAGTGTTGTCAATGAGATGAAACAACATTCATGAATTTGCGAAGGGGTCGATTACAACCTGTACCCGAAGAGGCTTTTTTGTGCGCTAATTCGATGTGCCGCTTTGGCAGCTATTAAGGCAAAATGGAGCCTTTAGCGGATGAGCTGTAAGCCGTAGCCATTACCTGTGAACGCTCTATGTAGAAGGGGTAATGTGTGCAAAGGGGTGGCGTTCTTGGAGAGTAATGCCGCAATTTAGTGATGTGTTTCTTTGACTCGCAATGCATTTTTCGTCTTGATTTTCCGCCTGGAAAAAATGATGTATGGATATGGAGAGGTTTCATATTTTACAAGTCCGTGAAATGGGGTTGAGGACGAGGGAATTTCTCTTCGCTGTATTAGCTTGATTACGGGGAGTTTGCTCCGATCTTTGTGAATTTTTGCGTTTCTCTACATACAGTTAATCATTTCTTTGATTTACACACTAATCTCGGTTTGTGTACACAATTTTTCATTTCGAGAAAATTATATTTATAGTCTGTTACTTTAGCTTCCGATGCATTATTCATTACGCTTTGCCGCAGAAAAATGTACAATAAAACGATTATTTACACAAACGGTGATATCCAACGTAAGAAGCAATCAGGATCATCCGAAATCCCTCCCCTTTAAGGCGAAGATGTGATTGACATTTGTTACGCTTCAAAGCTCATCCTCAATTATTCGAGTAAGCGCTTTCCAAATAATTTATGATATGA